GAAGCATTTTCCGACGTTAGTTTCCACGTTCTTGCTGTATGGTGGGTTAAACCAAGTAATATTCCGCTGCCTGTTTCTTCGTGGACGTGGTGCCTGGTTTGATGCAGCGTTGAATGACAGGGTGTAGCTGTACCCACTTTTTTTGAGAGCTTCTTGATAAATAGGTTTAGCACTATCGAAGCATTCCCTGTCGGAAGATATCTCGGAGAGCCTCCTATTGATTGATTCAGGGATGTTGCGCAGAATGGATGGTGGGTGGTTAGATTTTTTATGCACGTACAGGGGGATGTTGCCTTCCTTAGTAAAAGGGTAATACTTCCCACTTGAGAGGTCAAGCGTGACGTCTAGAAAATTGGTTTTGGTGATGTTAGCCTCGACTGTGATTTTTAAGTCATTGTCGCGGAAGACTTTGCAAAAACCTTTCTTGATATTCTCTATTTCCTGCGGTGTTCCATTGAGGGCAGCCAAACCATCATCCCGGTATAAACCAATATTTTGACCATACTTCTCAGTAAGAATTGATAAGAGAAAGCATCCAACCAGCTCACACGTTTCCGCTCCATCGAAGGTCCCCATGGTAACATCAAAGAGGTTGCTGGCAGATTTTTTTCTCCCACGGGCAATCATCGTTAAATAGCAGAGATCGTTTTGCATGCAAGATAATTTCACGTTCATGGCTGTTGATTGAGCAGTACTTAGAGGCAAAATCTAGTGCTTTGGAAAGCAACTTCTCAGTTTTGGAGGGGTAGAGTTCACAAACGTCGAAACAGATGAATGAAAGAGAGCTCTTGCTTTCTAAACTATTAAACCATTTTAGGACACTTGAGGTGTTTTTCCACTGGTTTACTTTACTGCTGCGGTGTTAATTTCATCGAGAATATGCTTACTGATTTTTACTTCGTCTATATACATATATGTATATATGTATATAGACGATACCACAAGTGTGGGATCGTTCGGGGATCCATATCGGTTCTCCCTCATCCTAGCATCAGCACTGCACTGCACACTTAATAAGAGTTATTTATATATATATATATATATATATCATTATCAATATATATATATATATAATGATAATGAGTTTTGAATATCTCTTCGGATGTTAAAAACTAAAATCTAAAAGGCCTCATGCCAATGCATACTTAATCAGGTATTTTCTAGCATGCCAGCATGCAGTTGCCAGCTCCTTTCTTTTGTTCAATGTACATAGATTGGGTTTCCGTATAATAAAGTACTTTTCGTTTAAACAAAGATGACATTTCTTTGAGATGTTAGTGTACGTATTGGCATGAGCGATTACTTTACGGGACAATGTATAATGCTCCGTAAGTCGAGCACTGTATTTTGAATAGGCCAACATGGAAAGGATTAACTTCAACTGCTTCACCAAGATTGTTAACAATCACATTGCTAAACATCATCGACGAACCACAATATTGACTGGGACTCTGCGCAGTGCCTAACCTGCAGCACTAACTACTTTCAACGACTGACTCTAGAAAGCTGGTTTCCTAACTTAGAACAGACTCCCCTAAACAGGTGTCAACTACTACCGGCTCCATACAAACTACTCATTCACGACATTACCATTACAAACGAACCGAGCAGAACGACCTAAATTTACCTACGGATCGAAACATACAAATCACGACCGACATACACCACTTGGATCTTAGGGCCAATAACATCACGGCAAAACTGAACAATCGTTTTACACGAACTGGACTAAGAACATTCTGTTGACACCAACTCTTCACTTGACTCTGATGATGACTTCCGCACAGGTTGTTGAAACGTCAGTCATTACCACCGACAACAGTCCTTCTAAGGACTACACTCACCCGGACGATCACATTACACTTTCACATGATACCCCCGGGTTCAAACCATTTACTGCATGGCAAAAGGCCCTAGAGTTCACAGCATCTTACGACAGCATCTTACGTCAGCATCTCACAGGAGGATCACAAAGTAATTTTTCATACACAAAAAAAAAAATCATGTTCAATGATAACACCCCGTGGACAAAAAAAAGAATTCTCAGAACTCATTCGACGTAACAATGGGATGGTTTGATGGCGCTGAAATGCGTGAACTAATGGGATCGTACCTCCTGTATCAATTACCAGACGCGACCGAAGATCGGATGGGACTCTACAAGGCTCCAACTCGTTTCTAAAGGGGCCTATTATGGTCCAGGTGCATTCCACGAAACACCATGAAGGACCAATCAAATCAAGAAGCACATCTACAAAGTTTCCTCCGAAAACGGATTGAAGATAACAATAGCGGCTAACAAGAAAATTGTTGACTTTCCTGACGTCACGCTAAACCTAATTAGCAAGGGCACCTATGAACACAATGAAATCCAGGCAACACGCCCCAATATGTACACCGTGGGAGCAATCACCCCCCATCAATTATAAAGAACATACCACTAGCTTTTAATAAAAGGCTCAACGAGATCTCGTCGAATAGGGTGGCCTTCGATAAAGCGGCACCGGTCGACCAACAAGCCCTTAAAAGCAGCGGTTACGACTTGGAAATGAAGTTCTAAGCCGAAGGCAGCGCACAGCATAGCCAAGAGCAAACCATCCAACAACAGGAAAAGAAAGCCAGGCGTTGAAATTTCATATGGTTTAATCTCCCCTTTAGCAAGAACGTCGCCACGATTCCGGGACACTGTGAACGAGTGCTTTACATCTACTGAGGAAAATCTTCAACAAACACGCTGAAGATAAGCTATTCGTGTATGCCCAGTCTGGAGGAAAAAATCAGGACGCATTATAAAACCACCCTCATTAGCAACCAGTAAACACCTAGAAAGACCTGTGACTGCGGAGTAAAGTCAACCTGTCCGATGGAAGGAAACTGCATGGCGTGGAGTATTGTTTACCAAGCTACTGTGAGCGGCAACAAGGGCAAGGAAAGCTACATTGGCATAACCGGAGATAAGTTCAAAACAAGATACCGGAATTATATAGCTTCGCTTAAAGACAAGCGCAAAATGAATTCCACAGAACTAAGCAAGCATATCTGGTCCCTAAAGGACGCCGGCGCGGAATATACATTGTCCTAGAAAGCAATCGCTCATGCCAATACGTACACTAACATCTCAAAGAAGCGTCATCTTTGTTTAACTGAAAGGTACTATGCACATTTAACAAAAGAAACGAGCTGGCAACTGCATGCCCGCATGTTAGAAAATACCTTATTAAGTATGCACTGACTTGAGGTCTTTTAGTTTTTAGTTTTTTAACATCCGAAGAGAGAACATCTCAAAACAGAACTGTAGTGTCAGTCGATTTTAAACCTTCTCAACTTATTATCATTATTACTGCTCTGCAAGTCGAGCACTGTTTCAGCTTAGCAAAATATTCTTACAAATATAGATACGTACATACATATGACTACTGGTGGTAACTGAAAATGAAGACTTCATCTGCTATAAAAGTGTTCGATGTTTTGACCAGAGCGGTGAATAAAGATGAGTTTCTGGAGTCGGACTAGTTCAAAAACAATTAATTGCTACTCGGAGTTTCATGCTTCTAACGAAGCAATCATCAGGCAACTGGCAACAATAACGGTTACATGTTAAGAGATACAAATTTGAAAAATGGCCTGTCAAGATGCGTTCGCGCGCCAAAAGTGCTTAACGGTCGAGTGAATCTAAATTACGTAGAGGTGTTCTTTAACAAGAATTTCTTAGAGTGTCTACATGTCGATGCCATTTCGTTCCCTCGATTGAGTGACGACATTTCTGGTTTACAAATTATAAAATATTTCTCCCAGAGGCAAAGATTAGATTTTTTGTTGACATTTGAATACGACTTAGCTTGTTTTACTTTCCTCCACCTAATTTGATAGTCGATTTTCGGTTCTTTTAGACTCCATATGTGCTTGCTGAGTTCGGTTGCATTTTTGTAGCATTCGTTCCTGAAAGAACATGTATGGTTTCTGTAGCGCTCCTTGAATGTTGTGTCACACAGTCTAATGTAAGTTTCTTTCGCCTGTGGAGTTGTGACCGCTTGATATATGATGTTACGGATGTTACAATTTCTCTCAAGTGGACAGTTATCCTAGTTGCGGCAATTGCATTTAATTTCAACTTCATCTGATTGTCTTGATGATTTGCTAATTTGGGCTTTGTTGTGATTGGAGATAATGCTTTTTACGATGGTCAAACAGCTGTAGCTCAGCTTTAGAGTGTTCCGGTTAAAGATTCCGTGCAGCGGGTTGGATTTAGGGAAATGCTGATCAATTAGTTTGAGGAAGCATTTACCGATTTTTGTTTCAACATTTTGGCTGTATGGCGGATTGTACCACAGGATGTTCCTTTGAAACTCCGCGTAGCAATTAAATGTTTTTAAACTAGTCCGACTCCAGAAACTCATCTTTATTTACATACATACATACATATATATATCTTAAGTTGACCACTCCGTTCTCAATTATATATGTTATATATATAAATCTATTTATTAAAAACTGGATCATTGGATAATGCAATTCAAGACTTTTTATTGGCTTAGCCATTATGCTATATGAGCCTATATACCATAATCTACAAATATGGTAGCGTACGCGTCAGCTNCCTAAAAACTGGACATATCCTAGCTCAGCATGGGGCTGAGCATTAATCTAATCCGGTTATACAAGTCTGGCTTTTCTGATTTGTTGTTTGAATGATTGACTGAATGTATTTAAATATTATCCATCAAAGGCGAGGAAAGGAACGTCAACAAACAGCCACGTTAATATCACGCGCCTGTGTCGTCATCTCCTTCATAGTGTAACGTACCGTTAAGAGCTCGCTTCCTTCAGATCAATTAACACTAAAACTCAAGACTTTATTCAAGTCGCCATTTCTGCAATACGTGTTTTTCGTCTACAGAAAAAGCTCCAGCTGATGAGGGGGAAAAGGAAAGGTGTTCCTCTTCCAAAATATTCAAAACATAAAATGATAAGCTATGAGAAATAAAAAGGATGATACGTACTGAACTGTTGGACCAGAAACAAATGAGATGACCAGAAACGTTGCTCACTCAGCTGGCCTAAAAAGGACATAAAACTTGGATATTAGACAAAAACCTCAATGCTCGTCAACACACATTTTCAATAACCTGGCTCGGCATACAGCTGCGCATTACAGCAATCGGTAAAAGACAGGCTTTTCTGATTTTTCGTTTGAATGATTGACTGAATATAAGATTGTATCCTGTATTAAAGGCGAGGAAAGCAACGTCAGCAAAGATCAGGCCTTGGCAGATCGATATCACGCCACCGTGACGTCATCTTCTTCACAAATGAAACGAAAAATGCAGTTCTTTTCAAGGCTAATTTAACGCCCGTATGTCGATAGAAGGCACCAGTCTAGCTTGAGTGATTTTAATGGCCTAATGCTCTCTACTACAATTATGTACAATCGGAAAGACTACCGTTGAACGAGAATTTTGCTAACCACCGCTTAAATCGTTGCAGAAATCTCAAAAGCATTGATCTCTACACGAAAGTTTTTCAGAGGCATTATTTCTTTTTATAGGCATGAAATTGCAGTATATTGGAATGAATTTGGATTTGCTGCAACTTTTTCCTGTAGTCCTTGTTTGTTTACGCATAAAATATATGCACAACACTGAATATTTCCACGCTTTTGATCCTGTTCGCACAGTAAAAATTGCTGCCTCAGAACTCAGTGTTCGGCTAAAAAATGGATCTAGACATTTTGATACTGAATAATTAAATTTGTTGAAAAAATGCTAATCATTTTGACCGATTACAATTTTTACCTTTCTGAGCTGACTTCAGATTGCGTCTAGTAGATTACTGAATCGAGTCTGTCGATCACGTTGCTGATTTGTGTCACACAGACAAGGTTCTCCACCAGACAGTTCTATCCAATACTGTTAAATGACTTTGTGAATTCGACGAAATCGATCAATGTACAGGAAGATAATCGCCTCTGTATATTCTCTCAAAGCGAAAGCAAGCGGAGTGAACGGAAACCGAAATGTGGAAGTTATCCATAACACATGGAAAATGAAACCATCGCCCACTAAACTAGCCTAAAAAGGACATAACCTAAAAAGGAAATAAATAGTGTCGGACCGCATTTGGTATCTGGGCAACCGAGCTCGGAGTTTGGTTGCACAGATACCAAGTGTGGTCCATATTGTCTATGAAAGGCGAGGTAAGGAACGTCAACAGACAGCCACGTTAATATCAGGCGTCCGTGTCGTCAACTCCTCATTCACAAGCAACAGACAGCCAGGTTACTATCACACCACGTGTCGTCTTCTCCTTCACAAACAAGATTAGTATTTCGGTCATAAACACTTAGTTATTTTGTAGATAATTGTGATACTGAATACGGCTTTTGTTGTTAAGTTAGTTTTAATTGCTAATTGGTCGCTAATATCCTCATTTATTGTATGGCTGTGTCTCACAAGGACTGGGAACTACCGAATTCACGAATTTGATTGGCTGAAATCAAAATTGAAAGCGGTCTAGATTTTCCCATCTAGACCGGCATCTAGACCGGTCTAGAAAAAAAAGGTACAAAGAATATAAAAAAATTGGCATATAAGACACAGCCATATAATAAACATCTTATTAACCGAGCTAGGTCGGTCTGTATGGGAGAATCTTGACCTCGGTCGCTGGTACAGACCTCACTGCGTTCGGTTAATAAGAACCAAGTATTAATTATTCCAGGACTCTGTTGATAAGTCATCGCATTTAAGAATGGTTCTAGTGATGATGATTCAGCCGTCACCTGATCAGAGCCTCCAGTGTCTCAGTAGTCGGTCCTCTGTGAAATTCCTCTTCTTTGTAATGCAGCGCTTTACGT